AGACCAGAGTTTCCACACAACCCAGGTGTGCCAGACCTCACAAGATCCAGAAGTACATACAAGGTCAACCATTAAAACCTGAGCTGCACAAAAAGCCTTCCTCAGGGAATCAGCAGAAATGAAGCAGTTTAGCTCAGCTCAACTACAGAGCTCAAGTGCTGGTCCCCACAGGAAGTTCCTCCATCTTAGAAGTAAGCAAAGGACAACAAATTAGTTGCAGTCAGAGTTTAAGGGGTGGGAACAGTGAATAATCCAACACGGAACTGAAAGAAAAAACAAAATACCCACAAATCAGAGACAAAGTTCAATATTAACTGGTAAAGGTCTAACACCACCAAAAAAGACCTACAAAACCTAGAAGGGGCAGAAGCCCCCTGGTCTCCCAAGCAAGGGATGGGAGAGGGCCAAGGGCCTCAGCCATGCCACACCAGCATCTGCAACCAGCCCAGCAACCACCACCGAGCTGCTGCAAGAAGCACCCCAGCCTCCTGAGCCAGGGAAGTAGGGGGCCAAAGACCTCAGCCATGCCCCCCTGACATCTGCAACCAGCCCAGTGACCACCCACCTGCTACTAGAAGCCCCCTGGTCTCCCCTGCTGGAATGAAGGGGAGCCATGGGTCTCAATCATGCTCCCCCTCCTTTCTCCTCTTCCTACCCTATTTCCCCTTCCACTTCCCTTCTTCTCCCCTGCAACTGCTCACAACAACATCTTAGAATGAGGTGTGGAGCTGGGAGATTCCAAACCCAGCCACAACTGGGCAAGCTGCTGCCACTGCCCCGGGGCCCCACTGGGGGCCTAAGGCATGGAGTTGGGGGACACTGAACCCAGCTGCAACTAGGCAAGCTGCCGCCACCACCCCAGGCCCTGCCAGGGTCCTGAGATGTGGAGCTGGGGGAAGCCAAACCCAGCCCAAATCAGGTAAAGAGCACACCAAGACACCGTTTTCACACAGGTAGCCTTCCATAGCCAACACCCACCACAATTGCCATGGCTGCTGCAAAAGCAGCTAGTCTCTATAGCAGCAGTAACAGCCACTGTGCAGATGGCGTGCCACACACTCAACTGCACTGACACAAGGAGAAGCACCAGTGGAGACCAAAAAAAAAAAAAAAAAGAACAAGAGGTCATCTCTCTCGACAAAGCACACTCCAGAGTAATAGAATTATCTGATTTATGATAATAGGGGAGGACTTGATCACACGATCACACCTGTCTCAGTCCTGGACAGATCATCTAGGCAACAGAG